TGGCTCAGGTGGGCTTTGAGGTTTTTTTATTTTATTTTAGGCTATTTTATGCTGTTCTGTTATTTATTTTACTTTTCGAAGTTCGTGTTGTCGTGTTTAACTGTGTTTTGTTGTCTTAATAATTAAGTCCCGTGGTTTTATTTCACTCCTCTCCCTCTCCTCAGCCCCTGATGAGGGAGGTCCTGGAGAAGAAGCCGAGCCTGTCCCAGGAGGAGGCCCGGGATCTCCTGGAGCGCTGCCTGCGCATCCTCTACTACAGGGACGCCAGATCCTTCAACAGGGTCCGTGTCCTTCCCCCTGCAGACACCTCCCTGAGCCCAGGAATCCCTCCTGGAGACACCTCCCTGAGCCCAGAAACTCGAGGGTCCCTCCTGGAGACACCTCCCTGAGCCCAGGAATCCGTCCTGGAGACACCTCCCTGATCCCACAAACCCGGGGGTCCCTCCTGGAGACACCTCCCTGATCCCCTCACATGGATACACCTCCCTGATCCCAGGAATTCCTCCTGGAGACACTTCCCTGATCCCCCTTACCAGGATACACCCATCCTGATCCCAGGAATCCCTCCTGGAGACACCTGTCCTGATCCCAGGAATCCCTCCTGCAGACACATCCCTGATCCCAGGAATCCCCCCTGGAGACACCTCCCTGATCCCACAAACCTAGGGGTCCCTCCTGGAGACACCTCCCTGATCCCAAAAACCCAGGGGTCCCTCCTGGAGACACCTGTCCTGATCCCAGGAATCCCTCCTGCAGACACATCCCTGATCCCAGGAATCCCTCCTGAAGACACCTCCCTGATCCCAGGAATCCCTCCTGAAGACACCTTCCTGATCCCCTCACCTGGATACACCCATCCTGATCCCAGGAAAATCCCTCTCCCAGCCCCACCTCCCTTATCCCAGGAGAAGGGGGAGGGTGGGAGATGAGTTGATCCCGAGCTCCAGAGCCCAGCTCGGCTCCAGCCGGTCAGGATCCACTTTGGGGGGATTTCCTTGGATAACTGTCCCGTCCCTGCAGCTCCGCCATCCAGGGGCTCCAATCCTTCCCCTTGGGAATCCTTTCCCACCATCCCCCCATTAAACCCAAACCCTTTTTTGGGGGACAGTCTCCTTAATCGGGGCGTCCCCAGGGCCCGCTTTGCTCCAGGTGTGGAATTCCAGGCCTACCTGGCTCCGGGTGTGGAATTCCAAGGATTCATTCCCACGTTCTCTCCCCTCAGTATGAACTCGCCACCGTGACGGAGAAGGGGGTGCAGGTGGAGGGACCCCTGACCCTGGAAGCCAACTGGGACATCGCCCACGTGGTCAGGTAACGCTCCCGGGCTCGGGGTGACAATCTGGGGACATCCAGGGGACATCCAGGTGCTCCAGGAGACATCCAGGAGCCCCAGGGGACATCCAGGAGCCCCAGGGGACATCCAGGTGTCCAGGGGACATCCAGGTGTCCAGGGGATATCCAGGTGCTCCAGGGGGACATCCAGGAGCTCCAGGGGGACATCCAGGTGTCCAGGGCACATCCAGGTGTTCCAGGGGGACATCCAGGTGTTCCAGGGGACATCCAGGTGCTCCAGGGGACATCCAGGAGCTCCAGGGGGACATCCAGGTGCTCCAGGGGATATCCAGGTGCTCCAGGGCACATCCAGGAGCCCCAGGGGACATCCAGGAGCTCATGGGGACATCCAGGTGTTCCAGGGGACATCCAGGTGTCCAGGGCACATCCAGGTGTTCCAGGGGACATCCAGGTGTCCAGGGGACATCCAGGTGTTCCAGGGGACATCCAGGTGCTCCAGGGGGACATCCAGGTGCTCCAGGGGACATCCAGGAGCTCCAGGGGACATCCAGGAGCCCCAGGGGATATCCAGGTGCTCTAGGGGACGACATCCAGGAGCTCATGGGGACATCCAGGTGTTCCAGGGGACATCCAGGAGCTCCAGGGGGACATCCAGGTGTTCCAGGGGACATCCAGGAGCTTCAGGGCACATCCAGGAGCCCCAGGGCACATCCAGGTGCTCCAGGGGACATCCAGGTGTTCCAGGGGACATCCAGGTGTTCCAGGGGGACATCCAGGAGCTCATGGGGACATCCAGGTGTCCAGGGGACATCCAGGAGCTCCAGGGGACATCCAGGAGCTTCAGGGCACATCCAGGAGCCCCAGGGCACATCCAGGAGCTCCAGGGGGACATTCCAGGTGTCCCAGGGCACATCCAGGAGCTCCAGGGTGACATTCCAGGTGTAGGAATCCCTGTGGCACATCCAGGGGGGATCGTCCTGACCTTCCCAATCCCTTTTCTTGCAGCGGCTTCGAGTGAACCCCGGGAGCTGCTCCAGGTCGTCGCGTCCTGCCCTTTGTATCCCACCCTTTGGATCCTCCTCCCTTTGGGAATGTCCCATCCGTGGTTTTGGGAATAAAAACAAGGCCTTTTAAGACCGGGCTCTGTGTTTGTGCCGCGCTCGGGACCCTCCAAAAAAACTTGGGATCCTCCCAAACCAGGGACTTGAGGAAGGGAGGGGGGTCTCGGAGTTCCAGGTGAAGCTGCAAGTCCTTGTTTTTGTTGGAATCTTGGAATTGCTGAGGTTGGAGAAGCCCCTCTGGGATCGTGGAGTCCGAGGCCACCCTTAAATCCTGTCCCCAAGGTGCCACATCCACACGTTCTTTGGGCATTCCAGGGTGGGGATTCCGGGATTTTCCCAAATATCCGACCTAAAACCCCCCCTGGAGCAGCTTCAGGCCAGCCCTGGGCTCCAGGATCAGCCCCCAAAATAGCCCAGATTTGCCCCAAACCAAGACTTACACAGAGCAGGTCCTGCATTATTCCAGCTGGGAATCCAAGGGAATTCCGGGAAGGCAAAAAGGCTCAATAATCCACCTTTAGGAGTCACCTGTGGATGGAAGGAAAACACGTCTGGGAAGAGATTTTTTTTTGTTAAAAATCACGTTTTTTGGGAGGTTCAAAATGACCTCGGGGAGGGGGTGGGGGTTTCCTGGGAGGGATGGGGCTGGATCCGGGAAAAAAACAGGGATAAAGGGCTGGATTGGGGCATTTTCAATTTTTTTTACAGGAAAGAAATGAAGAATAAAATAAAGATTTGCTGAACCTTAAGTTAAAAAAAAGGAAATATTTCAGTAAAACAAGGAAATAGTAAAAGGAGACACTTCAAAATATGAAACTCTCTGCAAAATATGGAACTGATTTCAGTGGAATATTGAAATATTTCAGCAAAATAAGGACATAAATCAACATGAAAGTGGTATTTTTACCAGCACAGAGAACCACCAGTAAATACATTTCTTCAGGAAGAGTTTTATTGACATTTTTATCCAACTTTTATTTAAAAAGAGAAGGAAATCTCTCAGTGGGGAAGAGTCAGTCGTGGCACTGAAGTTTCCTGGAAAAAGGGGGGGGAAATTAAATTAAAACTTAAATTAAAACCCCATCTCTGGGTTCTCCAGGACAGGGGAAGGACTCGGGAGGGCAGGAGGAGGGGGTTGGGAACAAATCCCTCCGGGAGTTTTCCAAGAGCGGGGTTGGGGGAATAAAAACACGTGTTTAGGAAAAAAAAAAAAATCCATTTCCCTGGTTTTATTTCAACGTTTCCACGGCTGTACAATTCCAAGCTGAACCATTTACAGGTCTGCACATGCTGCTTCCTGCTTTCCTTAGGGAAGAGGAGGAAGGGGAAGAGGGGGGGGGGGAAAGGCTCACAAAAAAAAAAAAAAAACAACCCAAAAAACCCATGGAAACAGAAAGGTGCAGGTGCCTCTGGATTTCTGGGATCAGAAACCCAGGCAAGAGTTAAAAAACCCCTCCAAACATGCAAATTGTAGAAAAAACTCCAAGCTGGCAGTGAAAAATAAAAACAAATAGTTCTTTGTTTGTTTGTCCTCGTTTGTGAAAGTCACAGTTTGGTTCCCAAATCCCAAATTTTTTTTGTTTTCCTAATCCTAAGGGATTGGATGGATCTAAAAGCGGGTTTGTCACTATTGGGAATTACAGGGCAACGTTTTGTGGGCGCTGGGAGGGAGATCCAAGAGCAATCTGGGGCTTTTCTCCTCATCCCAGTGCCCTCTGTCGGGAATTCTTTGGAGCAAGGTGGGGGCCGGGTGGTTTTCCAGGGAAAATCACCGGGAAAAACGAGAGGTTTTGGGGGGGGTTCTGCCCCTAAAAAGCTGCTCCCGACCCCAAATCTGCTGGCACCGAACAGGAAAACCGGTGTGGTTTCACCCCCTGGCCAAATTCCTAACCAAAAAACCCCCAAAAAGACCCAAAGCAACCCCAAAATCTCCCCGGGCCAATCCGAAGGTTCACAGGAATTCCACAGGAATGGAACTTCCCCGGGGTCAAGTGTCACAAAACCAAGAATCAAAAAAAGAACCTGGTTTGGTTTGTTTTTTTTTTTTTAAGACAACCCCAAAAAAGGTTTTGAGAACTGGTTTTTCCAGAGCTACATCTGATTTTTTTTTTTCCTCTCCTTCCCTTTTTTCCCCCCCCCCGAAACGGCCACAAATTGACAAATGTCCAATTGGGAATAAAAAAAAAGATCCACATTTCTGCACGATAAAAACCCCAGAAACTCTGATACAAGTGAGGTAAAATAGCCACCCACGAGATATTTTCAGGAAAAAAAATACCAAAAACGGTGATTTTTTTTTTTCCTCTCCTTCCTTTTCCACCCCCCCCCCGAAACGGCCCCAAATTGACAAATGTCCAATTGGGAATAAAAAAAAAGATCCACATTTCTGCACGATAAAAACCCCAGAAACTCTGATACAAGTGAGGTAAAATAGC